CAAACTCCTAAAGGAAGAATCTTATATTCTTCTATGAATGTGACAGTTACATCTATTTGGTCTTACTACTTGTACATCACATTGCATAGAAACTTCTGGGCAGTGTCCTGGACTCCAGACCTTATCATGGGGCCTTGGCCACGTGTGAAATGACACATTATTACCAGGGAGCCACAGATTCCGATGGCAGCTCCCCCAGTGTGCCTATCTGCAGTGTGGGTGCATACTTCTGACTGGAGTCAGAATGAATCCAATTTTCAAAGAATTATATAGATTTATTGGAACTATTAGGATAGTTATTAGTCTTAATTAAGAAAATTTAAAAGATTAGATTATTTCTTTTGCTGATGTTCAGTTTGGACCACGGCCTCTCTCATAAAATAGAAACCATTACATTTGTTTTCTACATATTATGGGAAAAAAATAAAAAAGACTGTCACGTTTTTGTTTTCCCGTGTTATGCCAATTTTGTGGTAACTACAGAAAGTTTTAGCTATTTTGCTAACATGCTGCTGTTCTTGCCTCCAGCTTCTGAAGACTATGACCCCATAAACCTTCTGTCTGCAGAGATAGCTAATGCTTTAATTGATCATTAGTACACTTTCAAAATGAGTTTCCATCTGCCAAAAGATTAAGTGTCTCAGGGAATTGACTGAGAGCAGTTTAATGCATGGAGGATAACTGCAAGTGCCTTTAAAAGGCACTGCTGGATCACAAAACCTTGAAAAACTTGCTTCTGAAATACTTACAAGGAAAAGTAAGAGGAAAGGTCTTTCCTCTGCTTTGTTTTTCCCTCAAATTAAGTATTTTTTTATATATCAATGAGAATTTGTTGTCACATTTTGAAGAACTGGAAAGCAAAACCTCATGAAAATGCTGAATTTAACCTTACAGCAAACCATGCAATTTTTGCCAGCTTTAATTTGCAATGTAAATTTTTTGTTAAATGGGTTCATTTCAACTGTAAAAAAACGACAGGAAAAAAAATTTCCACTAGCTGTACTTAAGAATACTAGGAGAAAAATATTTCCGTGTTTTATCCTGTATTTTCACAATTACTGGGATTGCTTCTCTTTCTGTTTTCTTCAAGCTTTTGCCTTAGTTTATTTGGAGAGATTTTTACAGGTTTCGTGTTGGTTTCTCTCTGCCATTTTTGTACAAGGCACTTTGGGTAAGACTTCTACCATTGCAATAACACTTACAGTTGTTATTAGAGAAATGGTAGCTTCTTTCTCAGGTCTCTGAAAAGGTGGTGCTATTGAACTCAGGCAAGGACAGCTCTGGCTGCGCCATTCTGGCTGCATTAGAGCTGGCAGCACTGTTGGTTGTATCAGGAAATGTGGGCACTGCAGCAGTGCCAAAGGCAGAGGTGTTGCACTGGTCAGCTGTCACCTTCACGGTGGTTATGGGTTCCTCATCAGTGTTGGTCTTGTGAACCCCAAATGGACAACTGCAGTGACCCCTAGACTTCCTAATGTCCTTTAATGCCTTCTGGAGGATGTGCTTGTAGCACTGCCTGCACTTAGGATCGAGGAGGTGGCAAAGGGGCTGCATGGAATTGATGGTAAAAGATACAGATGGATGTTCCAAATTTACTTTTTTCCAAATGTCTGTCTGCTCCTGTGGGAGGTTGGATTGTAGAAGAATAAGAGATAGTGCTAAAGGCAATCTCACCCCTGAGGAGTTGCAGCTGTGCTAATTACAGGTATTAAGAACAGGCCTGCCCTTAATAGGCTAAGGTGTACCCAATGAGTGTTATAAAAGGGTGGGCTGGCTAACTGAGGGACAGTTGGGGTTAGTTGGCTGTGCTGCAGTGAAGAGGAAGGAGTCAGCTGGCCCTGAGGAGCTGCCCATGAGGTATCATAAAGAAGGTATGAAAGTTTTATGGTATGACAATGACATACTCTTCCTCTGATTTGCCACTCAGGTTAGGGGAAAAACTGGTCCAAATGCACCATTTTATATATATTCACTAGTGGCTGTTGAAACAACACCTGGTTGAGGCTGTACTTATACTGAGTGGGAGGCAAAGGATACTGTTTTTGCAAATAACCCTGGGAAGATTAATCTAACCTATGTATGGAAGGTTGCATTCTGTTTGCCTTGTCAGGCAAAGTGGAGATACTGGTGCCACAATTGTTTTGTGACTGGGTGTTGGAGCTGGTTTAATATAGGCTGACTAAGAAGCAAAGCTTTTCTTTTTTAACTTTATTTGCTGTGTGTTGATGGGGAAGTATTCATTTAGAGAATGTGGCTAAAATTCTATCAAACACTTCAATGCTTGAAGAAATAAAGAAAGAGAGGAAATAAGATCTTGACTTTCAATTTTGTAATAATGCAATATGAAGGCCAGATTGTAACTGTAGATGTTCATTTCAAATTTAAATATTTAGCATTTTCAGTTGTCTGTGAATACACGAAAATTCATTACATTAAGATGGAATTTAGATCTTTGACATGAAGCTGATATTTTCATAGAGTGAAAAATATCAAGCTGACATTATACTGTCTCATTTGATGACTTCCAAATGTCAGAGTGCAGTAACTTATTCATAGGGACCTCCATGTCTTGTGATAGTGTCAATTCAAAAGACATTTACATCGACTTTTTTATTTAAACATGTAAAATGGAATATGCAAAGTGGCAGAGGAGAAGGGGAAAGACCAGGGCAAGGAAGTTCTTAATAATAGAATAGAGGCACTTCTAAGGCTAATTTCCACCACAGCCTTCTTTCTGACAGTGGCCTGGCTGTGCTGCTCCCTCCCAGCATCTTCCTCCTCCCCTGCTCAGCCACCTCATAGTTCTTGTCATTTCAACACAAGTTAGGGGGTTAGAAATCCTGAAAAGTAACCCTCCCCCCCGCCCTTAGCCCTTGCTTTTAAAAGTGATTTTGTAGTAATAGGAGATACCAGATTTTGTCTGGGAGTTAATTGATGCCTATATAATTTAGATCAAATTTATAAGGTGCTTGTATAGCTTGAGTTAAAAGATATCAGTATAACCTGATGTATCTATATAACTTGATATCAATATAACCTAAATCATCACTTTTTATATATCTATATAACCTGAATTATAACTTTCATACCTATATAACCTGATATAAATAACTTTTTATATATTGTAATGGTATATGGTTAACTAGTTGCTTAATGCTGAATAAACAAAAAAGAAGAAAAAACTTGCCAGGTGGATAGCTTTAGAGATAGGTAATTATAGTATTAATGATAAATTGACAACTTCAAAGCCAATTAACCACAAAACAAAGAATTTGGGCTGCTCAAGACCAGATAGACCAAGGGACACGGTAACTGCTCATGTTCTGAAGACAAAGTTGAAAGATTCAGATGTCAAGAAGACCTTGGAAGCCTTCATCAAAGACCCCTGATGAATTGGGGAGGTACAAGCACAATGCAAAAGAACGATCTAATAACCACCAGATCACACAGTGTAAATGAGTTCTGGAGCCTATGTGATGATGTTGTAGTGACACAGTGACACTAAGCAGTACTTATGCATAAATATACCACAGCACAGACACGGGTGGGTGAGTTAGGTGGAGATATCCCCCTCACCCCCAGCGCTGCAATAAGCAAACACCTGCTCTATAGGCGTCCATCTATGGGGATGTATTTCCAGCCTGTCTTTCGGGCATCATAATGGTGCTGTTGGCAATGCACAACCTCGGTGTGAGGGCTGGTAACGGGCTTGTGAAGCCACGGTAGTTGAGTTAGGTAACATTATTTTACTCTCCGCAGGGCTGTGTGTGGCCGCGATCCTGGGGTGTACAGCCCGAGGCCGAGCCAGCTCTTCCTCATGTGGGTCAGACCGTCGCGCAGCGCTCCGCTGCGGGACAGGACCGGACACCCGGACGCGGCTCCACCTGCGGGCCGCACAGAGCGGCCATTTTGTTCCTTCCCTGCGGCGCGCTCCGGGCCGGCGGCGCCCCCTGGCGGCCATGGTGCAGACCCCGCGGCCGGCAGGGGGCGCGGCGGCGCGCGGCGGCGGCCATGTCGGAGCTGGCTCGGGAGGAGCTGTCGGCGCTCGCCGCCATCTACTGCGAGCCGGGTGCTGGCGGCCTCAGGTGATGCGGCCGCGCTCTCTGCCCACAGCCCGGGCTCTCCGGCCCGACCGGGCTCTGGGGCCGCTCTCGGTGGGGCTCAGCCAGGGGCAGCACGGGCGCAGTCGCTCGCTGCTGGTCGTGTGTCCCTGCCCCGCTGGGTGTCTGTGCTGGCGGCCGCTCTTGGGGCGCGGAGCCCGGCGGGCCCTGCTCAGTGCCCTGTGGGGCAGCGATGGGAGCGGGCTGGCTGCTCTCTAGGCAAACGAGCAAGTGAATCTCGTACGCGTTAGCAAGCCCAGCTGTTTTCTGGTAATACTGAGTAGGGTACAGCTGCTGCAGTGCGTAAGAAGAATTGGGTTATCTCTGTATGTTTCTGGGGTAAACTGACTACCTGGGCATTGTGACGTGCCAGATGTTACTGCTGCTTCAGCAGAATATGTACGGCTGTAGGTTTTACAGGGTACTGAGGCTGATGTGTCGTGTCTGCCGTGGGTGGAATGATCAGGTTTGTAGCACTTGCTGCCATTAGCTGCTGGGTGCTGTAGACAAGGAGTGCAGTGGATGCCTTCATGGTTTGTGCACCAGCCATGGTGGCCACTGATCAGAGCACAGTAGTAAGAGATGGCTTTTTTCAGTCTGTGCTGTATGATGCTGTGAGGATGCCCCCTTTAACAAGGGAGAATAAATCTCAGTAGTTCCAGTGTACAATGGCAGCTCTGTCAGGCTTAATTGTCAGGTAGGATATGCAAGTGTTGGTGTCCAGATCCAGGCCATTAGTAAATTTTGCTTGGTGCCTAGCACAGATGTGACAACTCTTAGATATTTGTTGGAGAGAGATACACGTGCACATATAAGCACAGAGTATGCCTGTGTTGTGTACCACGGGTCCCCGGTGTCTGGGAGCTCTTGCAGGGTTCTGCCCAGCTCCCCAGCACAGCGATGGACTGGGAGCAGGCTCCTGCAGTGAAGTCCTGGGCAATGCTGCTGAAGGTGGATGTAGTGGTCAGATTTTGTCTGCATATGTATGTATTCAGCCCTAAAGAACTGAGATTGATAAGGAGAGTTTTTTTACTGTGAGTGTGACTGAGTGCTGGAGGCTGCCAGGAGAGCTTGTGGAGTCTCCCTCACTGGAGATATTCCGAATATCTGCATATTGTCCTGGGCAGTTGTCCTGTTGTAGTGACTGTGCTTGAGGGGAGAGGCTGGATGAAGGCATTAGTGTCTGTAGGGAGCACAATTAACCAGAGTAATCTAAAACTACCAATTTTCTATCTAGATAAATGACACACCTCCTGTTCTAGTGCAGGCATGTAATTCTGCCATTTAATTTTTTTAAATTGGTATTTAGGCTTGTATTTTTAAAACGTGATTGATGAAATGTTTCAACTGAGCTTTTTTTTTAAGTGAAAATTCCAAGAATGTTATTTTGGGCATAGTTTGAAAAAGCAGTATCCAGGCTCATCAGATGTTAATTTTAAAAAACGTGAGCATATCCGAGCATTGCATATACACATCTGTTCCTCCAAATCTGTTGAAAAGTGTAGGCACATTCTTCTCTGTGCTTCATATATGGAAAAATGATTTTGTGTTTATAAGTTACTAGAATCTAAAAGGTTTAAAATCCTTCCTGGACATAAAGTGAAGCGCCACAAGTGCGCAATGGGAGTAGACTATTTTATTTATATTGTTATGTGATCTTGGAGGGCCTCTAACCGGGCTGTGTTCATGATATGGTAGGATCAGGTATATTTGATTGGTTTATGTAATTTTCTGCTGGCATTGAAAATATTATTTTACAACGATGACTATTTGTATTTTTCTTACTCTTGGAATTTACTTGTTGGAGCTGTAGAATCTCTAGTCAGTATACAATTGACTTGCACTCCAGTCATTAGATTCTATTTGCTTTAGCTCTTCAAACCATGTAAATTGTCATTGACCAAGGGTGCACAGACATAACTTCCAGGAAGACTGTTATGTTATGCAATTTCTAAGACATTAAGAGTAATATGTGTGTAGATCCATGGGATCAAAAAGGAGGCCATTGGGGATTTGTGGTTTTGAGAAATGTGAGAGAATGCTTTTACAGGTCTCTTGGTATGGTAAAAACTTTGGCTTTTTGGAATTTAACAATGAAGTATTCAGAATGTAAAATGTGTTTTTATCAAAACCAATGTGTGGATGAATTTAAATAAACTAATTACAGTGTATCTTTTTTACCTTATATATCTGTTTGCAAAGATTAGTGTTACAGATAGAAATCCATAATTTAATTGTTAATCTGTTCTCTTTTGGTCTGTTCACCAAGCTTGCTATAAAAATATATTTAGATATTCTAAGCTTGTACGTTAGTAGGTGCCATTTTCTGAATTTAAAAATAGACTGCATGTGTTGCATAAAATGCCTTTGGGCAGGAGAGGAGGGGGATATCTGTCTGGTTGACATGGAACATAAGAAAAATTCTGAAGTATGCTAGAGCTAAATATACTGATAAGCATGCAGCTATGGGGGGAAATGAGTTAAAATGTATTGAGTTTGGTCTGATTAGTGCATTAAATGCCAGCAGAACAGTCATACCCAACCTTTTATTTCAGAAATAATCATCATGTTGCTGTGAAGACAACTCGGCCCTTGTAGCATGTGCAAACAAAGGAAATATTTCTTTGGAGCCAGGTTGTGCGGCGCGCCGGTGGTTTGCTCTTTGTTCTGCCACTGTCTGCAGCGCTGGTGCAGAAAATGGACGCTGCAAGGTTTATTTAAACTTAGATGCTGTAGCCCTGCAAAGGTTTTGAACTGATTCTGCTTTCTAAAAAAGTAAAGTCTGAAGCAGATGTAAATGAGCACGGCTGGGCTTTTCCTGATGGCTCAGGGTGATACACCTTGGGATGCGAGGCTGTTCTGCCTCCTTCAGGTTAGTTCATCACAAGGAAAGGTGTGAGATTTTTGCAGGTTTAAGAATAAGATCACTGCAGCAGGAGGCCCTTGTTGGAGGGGCACGGTTGGCCTGTCTATCCCTCTGTTCCTTCTGAGTTGGTGAGGTCTGTTGTGACAAGCTAGTGGAAAAATCCTAGGAGGATTATCCGAAAGGTAACCTGTTTTTCTGTCACTGTAATTAAGCTGGTGATAGAGTAGCATTTTTCAATTTATATAGGCTGTGCATTTTAAAATCTCGTGGCAACATAATTTAAAACAAAGTGATTCTCAGGCAGGATTTCAATGGTGCTGGCCGCATTCAGGCAGATGCCAGGTGGGGCTGCCCTGAGTGGGGCAGCAGCGCTGTCTGGGGCAATGGCTGCGTGTGCAGACAGCTCCGTGCTGGCCAGGAGGCTGCTGGGGGCCCCAGGACACGCAGGGCAGGTTTGCTGCCTGTGTCTGTGATTGTGTGTGCTGAGCCCAGTGTAATGGCAGAGGAGCTACTGCTGCTGGCACCCAGGAAGAAACACTTGTTAGGGCAGCAGAAAACAGAATTTAGGAGTGGGAAGGCTTGAGGTCCTCCTCAGTAACTGCTGACCATGTGCAAGGGTTTTCTGGGAAGGCTGGTGTTTTTCTGAGGAATGCATTTGTCTCAAAAGTGGTCTGAAACCTTTGATAGGGACTTGGAGGATAGAAGCCAAACTCCTGTTGGCAGGAAATTACTCCTTTGGCATGTGGTGCCCGTAAATACGGGCGTGGTTTGGTGTGATTTCATTGAATTCACTGGGATTGCATCTACTGCTTTCACCACTGAATTTGACTTGGAGACTTCTTCATAGTACTGCTAGAATTTGATTATTGGGTTTGGGGGGTGTGTTGATTTTATTTTGTGACTTCTCTGACCTTGAGAGTTCTTTGTATGACCCAGGAAGGAAGTTTGAAAACAAGCCCTTGGATAAGTTCTCTAAAGTACTTCTGTCTGTCCAAGTCACTCTTAGCTTCTTTCACTTTTTAGTAGGTTTCAAATGCAAAATCATACATTTTATGGGAGAGGTTGGTTAGTGGCATCAGTAATACTAATCAAACATAATTCATCTGACTGTCATGTAAAGGAAGGCAAGGTAAGGTAGAGGGGGAAGAGTGCAAGTCACTTCAAAAGACCGGCTCTGAAACTCAGCTCTCCTCTAATCTGCCTTTCAAATCTGGCTTCTCCTGCCCTCATAGAGTGAATCAACCTGACATTTTAGCAATTTTTGAAAGAAAAGGAGTGAAGTGTTTAGAATGCATCAAAGGGGTGAAGCAGAGAACATCTGAAGAAGATCATCTTTTGTCTGATTGATACCCTCTTACTTCATGGCAGAGGAGCAAAAGAAAGGTCTTTGTCCGTGCTTTTTACTTTGTCAAGTTTTGTATTGTTTTTCTGTGAAACTTCTAGTTAAGAAGGTTTTATTTCATGAAATGAAATACTGTACATAACTTTAATATTAAGCATCTTTGATTATATGATTTATCAGGATGATGTGATCTTCCAGCCTTTCCTGCTGCATACTGAGTGTATCCTTTCCACTCTGAAAATAATTCTGAAGTAGCCCTACAACAGATTTGAGCTATGAAGATATATAAACATACATTAATATGAGTACATACATAATTAGATATATATTATCTAGGGTCAGGTGTCCAACAGGGATGGTTTCCTTATGTCAGTGCAACTGTTGTAGAGGAGTTGGCAGAAAAGATTTAAGTGTATTTTCTCTGCAAGTTGTAGGGGACAAAGAATCTGACTTCTTTCTTTCCAAGTCTCTGCTTAGTGTGGAACTGCTTTTGAATGATTGTCTTAAAAAATACCTGGTGCAAGTCTGTTTGCCTTGCATTAGTATTGATGTTAGAAGTCTTACAGATTTCTGTAGGAGTAAACTTAGGGCAGTGCTGAGCCCATCCAGAAAAGTCTCTATTTTCAGTTGCCCTTGCTTTTGCTGTTGAGCTGTGGAAGCTTAGTTATGTGTTTGAGAGAGACAATTCTTTATTACTGGCTTGTCTAGACTTTGAAAGAGCCAAAAGGTGTGAATGCTTTGTAGAATGTGTTAATAACTTTTCTTCTACTATGTTATAGAAGTGTTTCATTTCAGGATTCCCTGCAGGTATAGCTTTAGCCATTGGTTGCAAGTCCCCACCCTGCAGAAAAAAAAATCACTCCCTCTTATTTTATAGGAAATGTCAATTATTTGAGTTGAATTGTTAAAGAAAATAGTATGATTTAATGATAAATATGTTTTTCAACTTCAAGCTAACTATTAATGTTGAGTTTTTTTTCTATTTTCCAGAAACGCATGGAATCTCATTTAGAATTCAAATCAGTGTGAAAGAAGTGCTGGATACAGATGTACTTTTAAAGCTGTTATTTCATTTACCAGTCAATTACCCATCAACCGTACCAGATATTTCTGTTACCTCAGAGCAGCTTACAAGGGCCCAGTGTATGGATGTGAGAGAGAAATTACTTGAAGAAGCCAAGAAGCATCTTTCTGAGCCCATGGTACACGATCTGATCCTTTGGGTACAGCAGCATCTTAAAGATGTCATTAAACAATCGGCAACAGTTTTCAATGAAAAACCTACTTTGTCAAAAGTAACAGAAGATGGTATCTGGATGCTCCTTTTGAATTTAGATCACATGAGAGCAAAAGCAAAATATGTGAAAACTGTGGAAAAATGGGCTTCAGATCTAAGGCTGACTGGAAGACTGATGTTCATGGGCAAGATAATATTGATTCTTCTTCAGGGTGACAGGAACAGCATTAAGGTGCAGGAACAATGAATGCTGACTAGTTCTATTGATTTACCACTGAAACCTCTGTGTCTGAATATTTTGTATGTGTTTTTCTAAGATTAACAATTTTGGAAGCAAATTGATCATTATGAGACTAGGAAGACCCAGTGACTTTATTCTTTATTAAAGAAAAAGGTGTTCTATTCTGTCTACAGTGATACCTGTGGCCTGTATTGCTTTGCTTCCCACTGGAACTATACCCCCATATCCTTTTGTTTCCTGACCTTAATATGCCTAGATTCAGTTTCCTTTATTTCCCAAAATGCCCCAGAAAGTGGAAAAGTTTATGGTGAGGAACTAATAACAGAGATATTTCTAACTCATTATTAACTGTCTCTTTCCTTGACTTAAAACCATGTGGTGCTCCTAGTGCATGCATGGGCTTTGAAATTTTTGTCTGTATGTACAAACTCCCACTGCCTTAGGTGGGTTTTTGTGGTGATGTTGGAGGAGAATGTTTTGGCTTTTCTAACTCATGTTCTCTTAATCAGTTAGGCCTGCTTAACTTAAAACTGATGAATAGAAGCAGTTGTGCACTTTTTGGCATGGGCACTTTCAAAGTTTGATTGCTGTGTTTAAAAAAGAAAGACTACATTTTGAGTGAGCTTTTGCATTTTACTAAACTTTGAAACTACTAGGTGACATTTAATATTTTGGGATTTTTTTTTTTTTTTGTCATTTAGGAGTACTTGATTCTTCAGAAAACTTCTAAGGTAGATGTGGACTCAAGTGGAAAGAAATGCAAAGAGAAAATGATGAGAGTACTGTGTGAGACAGAACTACAATCCCAGCATAAAAGGTATAATTTAGTACTGTTGTGGGTAGAAAAGTAACAGAATTGATAATAACATTCTGACAAATCCAGGCATATTCATCAGTTTCCCTTTTACAATGTAGGTTTCAGACGTTTGAAGTCAAAGAATATTCAGCACCGGAGGAGTTACAAAAGGAATTTGAAACTGCAGGACTTAAAACTCTTTTCTCTGAGTTTGTGTCTCCTCTCTTAAAGTAAAAGAAACCACTGGACCTCTGACCAAAGCAGTGGTTGACTGCAGATGCTGATGGAAGATAAAAGGACTAATGTGGCAAAACAATCTTGAAGCTTTTCTGCAAGAAATACCGGTAGTAGTCCTCCTTTTGCAAGAAAAAGGCAATTAATACATTAAGAACTGATACTTTTTTGACATTCATGTCAAAAAACAATGTGATGTTGATTGTTATAATTGCATGGCAAGCATGAGACAGGGAAGAAATAATGATAAAAAAATAGTCTTCTAGTCAGACTCTGTTTTATAGTCCCTGTTTTTCAATGCTCTGTTTCCTCTCTCTCATGGTAGAATTTGTCAATAATGGCTTGTTAGAACACGATTAATTTTGCTTTGGAAGACTGTATGAAGATATTTCCATAAAAACATAGCAAACACACATTTAAATATGTGAGGACAGCATATAATTAATGTCCCTTAGGAGTTCATATGCTAATTTTTCATTCTCCCTTTAATTGATTACAAATACTAGATAGTTGATTTGAATAAAAAGCTCATGTCACTTGAGGCCTGAAAAAAACTTAGAAGTGTCTTTTTGAATATTAGTTTTTATTCTAAAATTTATAAAAACACCCACATGGAGGATATAAATTGATAAAAAGCTGAGGTAGAGCTAGTTGTAATATTTTCTTTGATTGTTTACAGATGTCTTTTTGCACTTTATGTAGTTTTACTGTCTGTGCAACTTCAGATATCTTGATTCAATTAAACTGTTAGAGCAGTATATATGCAGACTTTAGTCTTCCATCTTTCAAAGCTTCTGCCAAGTTGTTTTTGTTTGTTTATTTGGGTTTTTTTGGGTTGGTCACTGGCCTTAGCCAACCTGTAATTTTTTTATCAGTAGTTTGTGTTTTATATCTGTATTAATGTTACAAATTGCATGCATACTTTTATGAATTGTGCAAGTTCTGTTTACCTAGGGAGGATAGGATACTTATTTATTATGATTATTAACGTGTATCCTTTGGTTTCTATTTTACCTGAAACCATTCTTTAACAAGACTAGATAAATTATCCAGTAATAAAAATTTTGCAATCGTGATTTTCTTAGTAGCTGGCACTGCCATTTGCCATTTCAATTGGCTTTAGCATGTAGCTAAACATGTGCTTTACTGCTCTCTAAAATTCAGTCTCAGAAGCCAAATGTCTCATGTATTCTGTAATTAAACAGATTTGATCAATTCAGTATAAACTAATTTATTTCCATTGTTCTGGGGCAAGACCAATACTATTTGTTTAGTTCTGAAAGTGTGGTTTGGCAAATCATTATGTAAGATCTGATTTCCTGTTTCATGCTCAGACCATGAGATCATACCTCTTCCTTTATATATTCTAAAAAAGTAACTAAAGCAGACTAGGAAGATTTTTATATTTTACTGTTTGAGATATCAGATGCATAAAGGGTTCTATATTGTTTGAGTGTCTCTAAAGTTTTTCAGGATTTTGGTGATTTTCTTAATATAAAGTGTCTCAAATATGTATGTTGCATGTTATTTTATGCACTGATGCAATTTTACTGAGATAGTAGCAAAGTTCTTCTTAGTGAGTATTTCATGTTTACCACATACAGTACTTCAGGCTCAGCAGAAAAGAGACTGGCTCGAACAGATTTTACAAATCTGTTCTATATTATTTTGAAATTGCTTCCTGAGGGACAGGAAATCTAATTTTCTATCATTTTAAGTGCTTGTGAAGATGAATCCTCACTTTTACAAAGAAGAATAAAACAGAAGTATCTTTAAAATATTAAAATAACATGTATTTTAAATTACAGTTTCCAGAATCGAGCTGTTCTCAGGTGTTGAAAAATTGTGTCAGTGCAGTATAAAGTTTTGAAAAGCTGTAGAGAATGTCTCCTTATTCTGTGTGACTGATCTGACAAATATCAAACTCAAGGCCTATGCATGTACAGCATAAGGAAACATAATCAGTATCTCTCTGCAAAACTAAATTGTTAAGGTTTTGCCAGATGCATTGTAAATCTGCTGATTTTAGGAATCAGGTTGAATGGCATTACCTACTCATGTGATCTCAAAATGCATGTGACTTCAAAAATAACTGAGCCATAAGTTGTGATCATCTTTCTTGCAAGATTAGATGCAGACTTACTGACGTTTTCCTCTCAACTAGAAAAGCCATTTATGGTGTCAGTGGCTACCAATTGCACTTGAATATAAACCCGTATTTTTGAGTTTTACTGCCTGATGCCTTCCTGGTCAACTGTTTGGCCAGAGCTGGCCTTGGAACAGCCAATTGAAAAACTTAATAATTGGGTGGGTTGCAGCTCTCTCCTGATGTGTGCTCATCTTCCTGCCAAATGAAGTTGTAGGAAGCTGGATGATTTCTGTGTTTCAGGAGATGGAAAATGCAATTTTTACAATGGATTTTTACCATGGTTAAATCTGTTACTCACTAGCTCACAGTGGACAAATCCACAAGTTCACTGTAGGAAAGGACTACAATTGATAGCTTGGTTTGATGTGCTTCAGGAAAATTACAAATCTGATCAGCTTGATACAGTTCAGACAGCAGAGAACATGAGAACTGATGTCAGTCTGATTCTGTTAAAGCAAATGCTTTTGCCCACCTATCAATCAGTCACTTATTTTGAAGGGTAGGAGGATATCTTCTGTTCAGACAAGTAAACAATATTTTTAAAGGCTGTTCTTCTGGACGGATGTTGCAGCTGTCTGTTAAGTGATGATTTGTTTGCATTCATTGTGAAAAGATCCGAGCTAGCCTGTGAGCCTCTGGGGCACAAAAGTCATCAGAATGGGTCCTGTGGTGCATGTTCTGCCTTCCAAGGGAGCTGAGGCAGACACAGAAGAACAAAATGCACAGATGCAGAAGAATAAGAAGCAAGGAAAAAGTGCATCACTGTGTAAAAAGTGAAGTGCATGTAACTACTGGAATCTGAAAATTCAGTTGCAAGGAAGAAGAAATCCACAAATTAAAGGTGATTTAACAAGTTAGAAGCTAGCTTTCTTGTGGATGGGATGTTATAAACAGTTCTTCAAACACCATGGTCAGTAAAGCCTTGTTTCCTGTGGCCTTGCTAGTTTCTAAGCTATAGCACACATGAAGTCTTCCCTGCAGGAGATACATTCCTGATGGTGCTCTCCAGGTGGGTTCCCCCGTGCCTGGTATTGATTGTGCATAAATTGATTATTTCTTGCATAAATCTTTAAGGTATGAGTAGCATTTTTTCACCTGTTACCGTCTTCATCAAAGTCATAGGTACTTGGTTTCTTTCAGGTTGTTAACCTTTCATTTTAATTGAAATGACTTCAATTCAGAAGTTCTAGGAAAACTTTGTAGTAATAATATGCTTGCTTCTGTATAGACAGCACAGCTGTATAATCATAGTTTCCTTTAAAAATCAGGCTAAAATGAAAGATGTTGCAATAGGAATGACAACTTGAAGAAGCAGGTTTTTTAGGACAAAACTGAGGTTTTCTGGTCTTTTTGAATACCTGTTTTGGTCTTTTTGAATACCTTGGCTTATTAAGTATGAAGAAAACAAAAAATAGGTTGAGGAAACAAGAACAATCCAGAGGAGGGAGATAAATGGAGGACATCAGTATTGGGAATTCACCTGGTTTTTATGCTTAGTCTCAGTAATTCTTCCCCCCACCACCCCTGAATTTGTTATTTGATGTTACAGGGAGGACAGGACACTGTAAGAACTCATATATGAAAATCCTTGACACAATCAATTAAAAATAAATGAAAGTAGATTTGATTGTTTTGTGGATCAGGCTGATTTTTGTGGTTTTGTAGTTGCATCTCATTTTCCTATAATAAGAGCATTTGTCTCTTCTGGTGTGAATGACCCACAAAACCCACTGAATTGAGTATAATTTATATGCAGAGGTACTGTAATGAGCCTTAAGAAACTTCATAGTGGAAAAAATATTTTGTTTACGTTGTTTCTTTTAAAAATAGTTTAATAAACCCTACGTATGGATGATTTAAAGCCTAGTGTTCCTTGATTTGTTTAGCTTTATCTGTGAAAATACAAACATAACCATGCTATAGTACATTTGAAATAAGATGATGAAATGTTGCACTCACTATATTTCTGCCAGAGTTTGAGACTGAAATTGCTTATATTATGAAATAGTGCAACTGCTGGAATCAACTTTAATATATCTTATAGTGGTACTAAGCATTATCTTCCTGTCTTTTTGTGTATAACACATGCAACACTGGCAGCACTCTGCTATGGTATTATATTTTGTATGTATACTTAATTTTTTGTTATCTTATGGAAGAGTTATGATTGTTTATATTTTTAATTATAGACATAAATGGAACTTGGAATATAAATATGCTGATAGCATTTTGCAGCAATTTTTCTCTGCTATGTTCATGTGTTGGCTTTTATATTAGTTTGTGTTGTTGAACTTCAAAGTATTAATTTACAGTGAAGAGAACTCTTTAGGGTGACTTAAAAATCTGCCTAAAATACATTAAATTTAAGGAATTCTTTGGACTCTAAAGGTGAAGCCCTTAATGTTTTGAGTTAATTATGCACTCAGATGCTTTAATTTTATGCTAATAAGGTACTAACTGCTGCACTTTTTGAATTTTCTTTGTGTTTCTTAATGTGATACCAGTAATCAGTTTGTATCCTGTGTTACAACATGGTTGATCATGGAATTCAGGTCAATATTTTATTAGTATTTCCCATTGTAAATATCTCTGATTCTTTATACGTATATACATTATTACCTATTGTAACTTGAATGCAAAGCATCATTTTAGGATGAAACTCATTACAAAAGAGCTCTGCATGAGAAGATTAACTACTTTGTGCTGCTTTTCCCATTGTCAACTTTTACATTCCTGCAGCTATGGGAGGCTGTCCAAGTTTTCTGGAGCTTAACAGGCCAACCCAGTGTGTCGCACTAGATCTCAGTGCCAGCTGGGTGGAGGCAGGTGCTCTCCAGGGCTTTGTGGGACCACTTTTGATAACATCTAACTGCCACTGAAGGGATTAGCTGGATATTTCTTGAACTTTGTGTAGAGAATCGATGGAGTGAATTCCACCAATGCAGAAGGTGAGTGGTTGGCTGCTGCTTGATCTGAGCTTTACATCAGGAGAGCTCTCTGATACTCCTTTTAGGTTAGAGCCACAGAGGGTAATAAACTAAGTTTACACATGTGCTAATCCCAGGGAACACTGCACAGCAAAATCAGTGCCATGATTTTAAGACTGAAGGTGGTAAACTCAATGTACTTGGACCATTTTTTAGTTGTACTCAGAAAAAAGACCAATGGAAAATGATTTTGTTGGTCTCTGATCAGTCACTCATCTGTAGTGGTATACAGAGACAGGATGCATTTTTATGGGAGATGGTGCTATGACTACCTTTCAGCCAAGACACAGTAAAAAGCTGTTCTTTTTTGAAGTAAAATAACTGAGTTGCTTGTGAGAATGCTGTCCACGTGAGATGCTGAACAGAAGCTGAGCTGTGCCAGAGGCTGATTTTTATTTGGTGGAAGTGGAGGTGTTAGAAAGTAACAGACAGCAATAAAAACACTGGTGGTGTGGCTCTCAGAGAAGCCAAAAGGAAGGGGTTTTGCATTGATTTTTCTCTGGAAAGAAGTTTTGGAGTATAAGCAAAGAAGTTTCTACTGTATCCAAGCTTCAAGTAGAAATGTCTGAAATAAGTATGCAGCTTCATTGTCATTTTCTCTTTTTAGCAGAACCAGCGTGTAGAACTGAGAACAAGTAGTGGAAGTTTTCACGAGTATAGAAATGACAAACCTCACTCGAGCTGTAGGCTGTCCATGCAGGAATTAGCACAGTTCTTAGAAATTGTCCTCAAATGACTCAGAAATGACAGAGACTCTGTAGAGACAACAAACTCCAAAAGTCTCATGGTTTGAAAACCAGGCTGTTGTGTCTCTGAGCAGTTGGGAGGATTGATGGAAGAGGTGCCCAGCAGCTCCCAGGAGCAGATTTTTTACAAAAATTGAGCGTTCTGGAAAGCAAGGCCTAAGGGGGTTGACAAATCACTTCTGGGGAAAAAAAAATTCTGCTTACTTGTGGAATCAGAGAATACAGGTAAGTGTTTAATTTTTACAAGACTTTTTCTGCATTGATACAATAGACACATGGTATAGAGATTTTAGATGGTCCTTGCTCAAATAGTGTCTAATGTCTTGGGAACCTGATGTATTTCAGTTCCACATCAATTAAGAAGATTTTTGGGTGATATTGGTGGTCAGTGGCATGAAAA